GTCGTCAGAACCCAGGCCCATCGGACGCGGAAGCCACACAGTCGTCACCCAGAGGACGCGTGTACAGTCCTGAGCATCTAGTGACCAATCCTACATCAAGCCCGTCTGTCGAGGGTTGCTGAAAGACTTGCTAACACATACTTTATCTGTTTGAAACATTTTCTTAGAAAAGTGCCTTTCTTTAAATAATAAAAGAATTCATAAATTGTATTAAAGAAAACTGAATGTAACCAAAACTGACTTATACATATTTTTAAAAATATATAAAGTCTTTCGCATAAAGTATGAATTTTTTTTTTCTACGAATAGTAATTGATTATCATAACACACACCAATAAATTAAGTAGTTTGACCCAAAATCTTATTTTTCTACATTGTGATGAAGGGTTTAGGTATTCAACTCTCTCTTCCTGCAAATGCTGACATATCATTACGTTCCTTTAATAATATCGATGTAAAATAAATTAATGTGAGTAAGTTTTATATTAAGCCATAATGTCTCTAAAAATGCTCGACCACCATCAACTCTGTTTAGAATTTAAGATAAGTTAAATAAAATAAAAATCGAAGGAGTTTAGAATTACACAGTACTCTGGGACAACAACTTTTAAACTGGATGTGCATTGAAAGATGTTTTAATAACTGCTAAGTAAGGCAAAATGATTCATACATTTCGATCTTTTTCTTTTGTTATACCTTTATGCTTTTTTTAAAATTAATTAATTTCCATGGTTTTCAAAATTATGTTATTATTCAAAGATTGCAACTGATTACCATCTTAATCTTTCTTTTGAAAATTATGCATAATTTATGCTTTATCTTATATACATTGAATTTTAGAGGTTATCAAAATGTGTTTAAATTTGCTAAATTATTTTATGTCTATGTAATTTTTTAATTCGGTTTCAAACAATGTGACATATTATAACATTTCTATGCCCGGGGGACTTGCATGCAATTAACACATTGCTGACCGGTCACGAGTAAATTCTTGTTTTCGTGGCCAAGCGTTGGTGACCGGTTACGAGTCATAGTAATCATGTTAGCAGTGATCTCGTACTGACTATCTTAAAAAGTGGGCGTAATTTCCTTATTTTTTAAGTTTTACTATTTAATTCTATACCAATTTATTATAAATTTACGAAACCGGATATATTTGCAAAACTCATGGCATACCTGCCAACTTTTAATCCTTTGCATTATCATTTTTCCCAGTGGTATTAAAATGGAATTGAAAATTCAATTTTAAGCAAACAAATACGTTGTATTTGAGAAACCTTAAGTTGACAACCATGATAGTAACGCATATTAATTTATGTGCTTGATTTTTGTAAGAATAGTGGTGATCAAAATCATTAAAAAATTAAGTTTATAAAAGAAAAAATAGTATATATTTACTACCACTTTAAATATGAAAATAAAATCTTCCGGAAAATCCGGAAGAGTTGGCAGGTATGTCATGGTGTACCATTACCCGTAGGTGATTGTTATGGTTTTTATCATACGGCATTGAAAATTAAAAGTTTTCTAAGTTTATTTATATTGTTTTAGCTCCACATTCGCTCTCAGAACAATTTCCGGGCACATGGGGGTAGTTTTCAGAAAAGTTGCCGGTCAGCAATGTGTTAAGACAGCCCTTCACACCACTAGTCACAATTCACGACTGCAGATGAAGTATTAAAAATGCATGTACTATGGACTGCGGTTCCAGAAAAGGCTGCACACCGCCAGTTTGCTGATAAAGACAGCTATTCAGGGTACTGATTTCCTGTCCTGTTTATGCAATCACACGTTCTTTCCACCACAACCCTTTAAGACCCAACAAGCACGATCGTACTTGTTACTTATAAACCAAATACGTGCATAATGTTACTGTGAATGAACGAAATCGGTGATTGTTGACTTCCACCGGTGAATGTTGACAAACACATAGTCGCATTGGTAAGAGTCCGAAATATGTACTGGTTCTAGTTAACCCTTTGACGGTCAGGGAAATAAGCAGTTTTCGTTTCATTTATTCATGCAGTAATACGAGCAAACAGTAGTCGAAAGTGGCAGCTGTTTTATCCCGCCGTACTTCCGAAAATGTCACCCTTCTCCGGCGAGGCTAGCTGCTCCTCTTTCTGGAATTGTTAAAATAAAGTGGTAGCAAATTATGTAGTAAAATTAGATGGAGAAGGACAGTTACGCTTACTTTTTAATTGAGTAACCAGTAGATTGTTGCTTTAACGTTGCATTTTATATGATACTTATAATTTTTGATATTTAGTGGTGAAAAAATTACTTAAAAGAAAAAATACTGAACTTTAAGTAACTTGAATTTCGCTACCTCTAGAAAATACTATTTTACAAAGCGGTGCCGTAGACAGCTCGCCTCACGCGTTTTAAAAATTTCTTAAAGTATTTGTAGTACATAAATAACAGTTTTTACGTACTTTAAAATAATAATTATTATTAGTAAATTATAAATGATTATAATAAACTAGGAGGCTCTGCCCCCTGCTCGCTAACGCTCGCCAACTCCCGAGAATTGCTACGCAATCCTATGTGGTTGCGCCGTGAACCATGGCTCGCTGCGCTCGCTCGCCATTGAACGCAATGTTCTAGCACAAAGACATAGTATATTATCATCAAAGTCATAGTATTTTATCATCAAAGACATACTATTGTATTTATGTAGAAGAATTCTATCAATGTTCTTATTGGCTTTTAAAAAAGTATATTAGCTATTTAGATTGTACATGGTGAAAAAATCAAAACATTAGCTAAATGAGAAACATATTAGCAAAATAAATTATCAAATATTGCAGTTACTCACCTAAATTCAACTAAATGTGTATAATAAATTAGTTAATGCTAGAAATTCTGAAAGTTTTAGAAAAAAATTTTATTATTTAAAAATATAAACTTTAAACCCTAACTTTTCCTTGTGAGATAATAACCCTCAAAAAGTCTTTCATTTTCAAGAACACAAAAATTTGTTTTATCGCCAAATGAAATATTTTTTGGTGATCAGCATTATTGAAATCAATTTCTATATTAATTAACATTTGTGATAAAGTACATAACATTTTAGAACAAAATAAGGATGTTTTACATACAATAAATTAAAATGCATGGCTGTTAGCATTACCCGAGAAATACCACGTGGAGGTCGCCATGCTGCATTTCTAATCGGGGAGTTTTGATTTTGGCAGTTCCCCTTGCCTACTGCCAATAGAAGTTTCAATTAAATTTTTTCCAAAAAACATTTTTTTCTGCAAAGCTCTAAGAAATTAACACTAAGCATTTAGAATTTCTTTGAAAACACAATTATAGATTTGGCATCTTGGAGCAATTACTGAAAGGCTGTCAAATGACTTAACTCTTGACAGGCCAACATAAAGTTGTCCATGACTAAAAACTTGTTTAGTCAATACTAAACTGATTTTCTCAAAAGTCTGACCTTGTGACTTATTTATAGTCATGGAGAAGGCCAGCCTAATTAATTCCTAATTGAGTTTAAATTAAATATTATCATGTTTTCAGGGCATGAATCTGATTTGAACAACCTGATAATGCTCACTCTGGTTATTGTTTCCGTTTTTAAAAGAGCTATATGTTGAGCCACCTCATCTGACATTTGCCATGTGACATTTTTAGCAGCAATCATTGGTCAATTTTCTAACGTTGCCATTCGGGGAGTTGTAATGAGGCTTTTTTTTGGTGCCGTGTAAGAGAAATATATATATAGATTATATATATAGTAGTTAATTATAAATATAAGACAAATATTAAATTGAAAGGACTACATAAATACAACTAATGTAAAACTTTATGAAACATTTAAATACTGTTATTACCTAAATACTCTGAACAAAGTCTACATCAGACTCAAAACTTAACAACTTGATAGGCTTTCTGCATCACAATCATCATCATAATTATCTAACTTTCGCTTTTCACCCATTTTACTTCACAAGCACCCTAAAAAACGCACCAAAATACGCATAAAAAGAACAAGGTAAAAAAAATAATTTCTCCTTCATTATGAAAAAAAAAATTCATGGAACCCGAACTGCCTTCTGCAGGCAGCGAAACTAAACTATGTCTCAAGAGTAGGATTCGTTTTTAACATAGTCAATGCAGAATAATAATGTCGAACGAGCTCAGCTCGTCAGCGCGCATTGCGGAGATATTCCACTACGCGAGTAGTGCTCGTTACTAACCATTACGGGCGAAATTTTGCTCCCGAGCGGAACTCGCTTGCGCGCATTATGAAGTACGATTCGATTGCGAGCTGAACTCGTTCATAACCGTCAAAGGGTTAAGTGCCAATGCCCGTTATACATTTGCCCGATATGCCCTACATAACTTTGTTTAAGGTTCTGTAACACTGGCCGGTATACATTTAACCGGTACTCCGAACACTGATGTTTCTCTTAATCTATCCTTAGCAGATATTAAAATATTCGAATAAATATAATAATATCTAATATTAATTCGGATATAACAAATATTTCGGACATTCTCCAAAGTAGATTGTTAATAAGATTGTTAATAATCACCGGTGAAAGTAGACATTCTCTTGATTTCGTCATTCACAGTAACAGTAATATTTTCATTTTAAAACAAGTTTAAACTGAGTATAAACTTTTTTCTCTAATATAGCTGCCATTTTAAGGTTAAAACTACCCATTACGAACATAAAATTTCATCTAATTGTTAATAATATATGCTAGCGCGCATTCTTAGATTGATGTTTATAACAGAATAACTTCCTTAGCACTTTTTTACGTTTTGAGCCATTTATACAAGAAAAGATTAGTACTTAGCGTTGTATCAGGTCTTAAAAGGACACGTCCAATGAATGCCACTCTATTACTTGCATTTTTTTTCTTGTGTGGAAAGTAGCGTAAATAAACTAGCCTCATTGGTTCGTGAGAGACAGTTTTTTTTTAATCACATGGAATATTGTTATGATGAGGAATTAGATAATTTATTTGATGATGTATTTACAGCATGATCTTCATCGTGCCATGCAGCGTTCTCAGTCAGCATTATCACATCGTCTCATGATACTTTCAGCCACTCTGCTTTGCCTCATTTTCACCAGGTAAGGACATCATTTTGTATTAAAACATTCAAAATATTTTCAATTTTAACCTATGCCCTTATTTAAATTTATTGCATATTTTCATATATTTCACAGATTCCGATCTCGCAGAGTTCATTTACACATAGTCGTTCGCACGAGAATCCCCCCTTTTTCATACCCCCTCAATTTAACCATCGTTGAACAGCCGACCCAATTTTAGGGTTTACTACTACTAATGTTCAACTCCGTTACCTTGTAATTTTGAACCCAAACCAGAAGACAAGGGAATTCCTGTCTTAATTCCGTTGAAGGAAAAGATAACCCCCGGGGGTTAGATACCTCCGTATCAGTTCAGTTAGTCAGCTCCGCTTTGTAGAAAATTATTTTTTAGTGGTAGCATAAATAAGCTATTTTTAGTTTAGTATTTTTCGTTTACTACTTATAAATGATTCAAAGTATCATATGAAATGCCACTTTATACTGTTATCTCGGAGTGACACTTTTAACTAGTGGACAAGTTTATTAAAGCCTTTTTAGAAAGCGGAGCGATTGGCATCCCTGTATTGGTGCACAATTATAATGTTCACATACCTAAAATAATTCCAGGCATAAAGTAACTTTTAATAAATACTAATTATTTTTTATTATTTAATTTAATAATAGATAAAAATCTTTTGAGTTGTAAGGTATTCCGTTTCTTACATCATTTCAACGAAAGCAAAACTTGAGTAAAATTGGTTTGAGAAATGGAATTCTGAGAAGTCGTATTTTAATGACTTTGTTCCAGCTCGCTCGTGGTGAGGCTTTTAAAATGCTAGTCAAAGAATCAAAAATTCTGAAAGCTTGGGTAATTAAATGACTACCACTTTATAAAATATTTTGCAAGAAGGGTAATATTTGGCAGGCCTGCTTGTTCAATCTTTACTTATGTATAAGCCGTTTTTTGTTTCAAGACGTTACTCCAGGGATGCCAACTGCTGAGGATTCGCCAAAAATTTTTTTTTTTTAAACTGTAGAGAAGAAAAATAATTTATATTTGAAACTCTTTACTACTCACTGATAAAAATGTCTACCTCATTGAACTAAAGTTAGGTAATCAATCAACGGACCTTCTTTTTAATTAACTATAAGAAATACTTTCTCGCCCAAAAGCTATATTAAAGACATATGCAGATCTTTTCCGCATTTATTAAATGTACCCTGAGCCGATTGCAAAAAGAGTAATTTTTAAATGATTATTTTTATTTATCTAATAAAATATTTTGAACTTTTAAACTGGTAGTGAAAAGTTATTAATTTTTTTTTACTTTCAAAAATTTATAGCAATAACATTTTCTATACGGGTTTAATGAATAAGTAGCATTTTTTTCAAAATTCTCTTCTAAAGATCTAATAATCGACATTCATAACATATATATATATGAGAATTTTATTTAATGGTGAAAAACCAGTGATAGTCGCAGCAATTAATTCTCTAGGATATCGTTAGTGCATTTTCAAACAGACATGAATGGGGATGCACACAGACCATGAAACATATTTTGGATGATGATCTGAAATAAGTCTGGATCAATGGCGATATCAGGTATTTCTGCTGATATGAGCTGACCAATATGCATGGAGTAATTTTTTCAATGAGCCAAATAATGTGGCAATCCTCTTTTTTGCCATTCAATAGAATACATCAGACACTGTGTCTCTCCAAAAACATGACGCTTCGCAAAGAAACCAAGTATAGAGCTTAATATTTGTTTAACTCACGTGCGCTAATATCACGAAGATTCCATGATGTTTGCCTAGGTTACAAAAGCTCTTTAATTCCAGCTCAAGCAGGATTGCACGTGAATGTACGTGAATAAATAACTCTGGCTGCCCATATGCGCACCGATACTTGTAGTACCGAACGAAGTCATTTGGAAACACGAATTGTACCGGCATATTTTCGCCAAAAAATGTTTCGATTGATTTGTTTGACCTGATAAGAACGTTGATAATGACTCGGCAGGCGACGTTAAATCTGGTAGTTTCAATTTGTCTCCAGAACAGAAAATTCCGACTGTTTCATTCTTAAATTTGATAGCCCTACAAAACATGCATAATCGATCCATTTTTCCGATAATGACGCTTGGGTGAAGACTATAGTTGGTTGTCGGATCATACTGAAATGCACTGAGATTCAAATCAGAATATTGGCAGTGTCTGAATAGTGAAGTGCGTTCTTGATTGATTTTCATTCTTGCTTCCTGTTGCTCTGATGTTTCCGACGAACGGGCTTGAGTAGTGCGTAGTTGATTTGTTAACAGTCTTCTTTCCTGTTGCTCAAACGTTTCTAAGGAACGGGCTAAGCCAAGACATTGTGTTCTCGATTAGTTTCAAGTCTTTTTTCCCGTTGCTCCGATGTTTCTAAAACACGGAAAGTTCTCTTTTTGCATGCCTGAGATGTTGATCGACTAAGAGCGATTCGTTCAGGCTGCATATTTTTGCAAATATTCTCTCTCAGAAATAAAAAGAAATGTAAAAGTTGACAGTGGTCACAAATTTGCTAAATCAAAAATTCACATACTTATTTTAAATAATAAAAAGAAACAATAAAAATTAAATAAATTAAATAAGAGAAAAATGATAAATTTAAAACCAAAATCTATTTTTTTAAATGAAAGAAATAAAATGTATGTGAATTCGAAAACTTTGCAATCATAAACAATCTAATAGTTTTCAAATGACAACTGTCCGCAATGAAACCTACAAAAACTATATTTAATTGTGCTAACCTAAAATTGCATACTAAATATAAATAATTATTGAAAACGTGCAATTTGAATGAAATTTGCCTTTGCCTTTATTTTTATTAAACAGTTTTCACAATTCGCGATCTCAACACTCGAGTACGCCCTCTAGCGGGAGCCTGAAAATATCGGACATTAGTTCCCACAAAACCATTGACAATGACGGACGGCATTTTCTTAGCAGCAGATAAGAAGCAAAATTTACCTAAGGAAGATGTAGAACTTCTTGAAAAAACTAACCAGAACATGCCAAACATTGAGGCAGAACACGCCAAGCATTCGAGGAACAATTTCTCAATAATTTTTACCTTTCTATTGCCAACAACATAACTTCCAATTTCATGATCACTTGCTGTTGCAGATGTGTGTATTACGGTAAAATAATTTTTTTCTGTCTTCAATTCATTACAAATTAAAGTGAAGTCAACATTGCTTTCGTCATTCCAATGAATAAAGTGAATTCAGAACTTACAGAACTGTAATAGTTATTGAATATTCTTCTTCTTTATAGAATAGTATATATTTCTGTATCTATATAATTCGTAAAACAACAATAAAGAATCATCCGATACACTTGAAATAGATTCATTTGGGCTGATTATTAATAAATTTGTATCGTTTTCTTGGTAATTATTTTTTTTGTTTTGAAGGAATAACTTCAACTAGAATTCAGCTATTCTGTTTTTAAGCTACAGATTCAAATTCATATCGAGATCTTACAATTATAAAATTTTAATGTGTGGTATGTTATGTGGTATGTAATCTATGCATATATTATTTGAAAATAAAATTTTCAAACGAAGAACATTTCATTTTGAATTCTGCGGATTTATAAAACAGGTGAGTGTCATGATTTTTATAATAAAAAATTTGCTTGTAATTATTTTTTTCTTATTTGATGATAGTTCTCTACAGAATGTTTTTTTACGTCTGATTAAGAACTATGAGAATAAAAAAAAAGAAACAATGTGAAAAATTTTTTTTTAATATGAAGAACTTTTAAAATCGTTTTTTATCCTAAGAATTCTTTATTTAACGTTTGTTACTTAATAATTTTTTGATAAAAATTATTGGAAAAATACTTTTTTTGAAAAATTAAATGGTATAACATTATGTGTTTATGTATACTTCTTGTATATTCTAATGTTTGAAGTAATATGATTCAGAAAATATGGAATTAAAATTCGGTGCTTGCGTACTAACGCCACCGCCGCTACAGATTTGGCGGTTTTTAAGTGCCGCTAATCTACACTTAAAATTTTTGCGACAAATCATAAAATAAAACACTTTATTTAAAATCAAAATAGTCAATCGGATTTCGGTGGAAAATGAGCCNGGTAGTTTCAATTTGCCTCCAGAACAGAAAATTCCAGCTGTTTCATTCTTTAATTTGAGAGCCCTACAAAACATACATAATTGATCCATTTTCCGATATTGCATTTGGGTGAAGACTATAGTTGGTTGTCGGATCATAGTGAAATGCACTGAGATTCAAATCAGAGTATTGGCAGTGTCTGAATAGCGAAGTGCTTTCTTGATTGATTTTCATTCTTGCTTCCCGTTGCTCTGATGTTTCCGACGAACGGGCTTGAGTAGTGCGTTCTCGATCGGTTTTAGTTCTTGCTCTCCGTTGCTCTGATGTTTCCGACAAACGGGCTTGAGTAGTGCGTAGTTGATTTGTTAACAGTCTTCTTTCCTGCTGCTCAAACGTTTCTAAGGAATGGGCAAAAGCATTGTGTTCTCGATTAGTTTCAAGTCTTTTTTCTCGTTGCTCCGATGTTTCTAAAACACGGAAAGTTCTCTTTTTTCGTGCCTGAGATGTTGATCGACTAAGAGCGATTCGTTTAGGCTGCATATTTTTGCAAATATTCTCTCTCAGAAATAAAAAGAAACGTAAAAGTTGACAGTGGTCACAAATTTGCTAAATCAAAAATTCACATACTTATTTTCAATAATAAAAAAGACAATAAAAATGAAATAAATTAAATAAGAAATATAAAAATGATAAATTTAAAACCAAAATCTATTTTTTTAAATGAAAGAAATAAAATGAATGTGAATTCGAAAACTTTGTAATAATAAACAATCTAATAGTTTTCAAATGACAACTGTCAGCAATGAAGCATACAAAAACTATATTTAATTGTGCTAACCTAAAATTGCATACTAAATCTAAATAATCATTGAAGACGTGCAATTTGAAGAAAATTTGCCTTTGCCTTTATTTTTATTTAACAGTTTTCACAATTCGCGATCGCAACGCTCGAGTACGCCCTCTAGCGGGAGCCTGAAAATATCGGGCAATGACGGACGCCATTTTCTTAGCAGGAAATACGAAGCAAAATTTACCTAAGGAAAAGGTAGAACTTCTTGAAAAAACTAACCAAAACAAGCCAAACATTGAGGCAGAACACGCCAAGCATTTGAAGAACAATATCTCAATAGTTTTTACTTTTCTATTACCAATAACCAATAACATAACTTTCAATTTCATGATCACTTGCTGTTTCAGATGTGTGTATTACGGTAAAATAATTTTTTCTGTCTTCAATTCATTACAAATTAAAGTGAAGGCATCATTGCTTTTGTCATTCCAATGAACAAAGTGAATTCCGAACTTACAGAACTGTAATAGTTATAGAATATTCTTCCTCTTTATAGAATAGTATATATTTCTATATCTATATAATTCGGAAAGCAATAATAAAGAATCATCCGAACTACTTGAAATAGTTTCATTTGTGCTGATTATTAATTATTTTTTATCGTATTGTTGGTAAGTATTTTTTAGTTTTGAAAGAATAATTTCAACTAGAATTCAGCTATTCTGTTTTTAAGATACAGATTCAAATTCATATCGAGATCTTACAATTATAAAATTTTGATGTGTGGTATGTTATCTAAAAGTAATGAAGGGATAATCTATGCATATATTATTTGAAAATAAAATTTTCAAGCGAAGAACATTTCATTTGGAATTCTGCGGATTTATAAAACAAGTGAGTGTTATGATTTTTATAATAAAAAATTTGCTTGTAATTATTTTCTTTTCTTATTTGATGATAGTTCTATACAGAATGGATTTTTACGTCTGATTAAGAACTATAAGAATAAAAAAAAGAAACAATATGAAAGTTTTTATTTCAATATAAAGAATTTTTAAAATCGTTTTTTATCCTAAGAATTCTTTATTTAACGTTTTTTAGTTAATAATTTTTTGATAAAAATTATTGTCAAAATACTTTTTTTGAAAAATTAAATGGTATAACATTATGTGTTTATGTACACTTCTTGTACATTCTAATGTTTGAAGTAATATGATTCAGAAAATATGGAATTAAAATTCGGTACTTGCGTACTAACGCCACCGCAGGTACAGACTTGACGGTTTTTAAGTGCCGCCAATCTACACTTAAAATTTTTGCGACAAATCATAAAATAAAACACTTTATTTAAAATCAAAGTAGTTTATCGGATTTCGGTGGACAATGGGCCGATATAGAGTTTATCATAGATTCAAAACAATCATATCGCCATATTAACTCTGATAAATAAGATTCCAAATGAAATAACATTTCCAAAACGTACGTTTACCAAGAAGCACGTTGCAAGTTTCATGTTGTGGGAATTGGTACATTTTCGTTTTTTCGGTAAAATATTTCGCTCCTGAAAAAATAAAATTGCATCTTGTTTTGTTTTTGGCAAATCCCAAAGACGAATTTTCGAAGCACTAAAGAATGGAGACAAGAAAGAATCTTTTTTTTTTTTTTCGTCAGCATTGTTTATTTTACGTTTTATAGTTATTAAATAATGATTTTTATTGAAACTTGAAATTTCTTGTTAAAAATTGTTGTCAAAACCTTTTTTTACAAAATTAAATTTCATAAAATTATGAGGCTTATGCATACTTTCTGTTCATTTTAATTTTTGAAGTAATATGACTCTTAAAACTATGGAATGTAAAGTTTAAATAGGCCTTATGTTATATCATTAAATTTAGTAAAACTAATTCTCGGGCATTAGATTTTCACTCTTATAAGAATATACATATTTTTTTCTGTTTATCTACAAATATTTTTCCGATGTGTTTTGGATGTTCCTTCTCTAAAAAAAAAAAAGAGATACCATTTTGTTTTCGTTTGCATAAGAAAGAATATCAATAATATTTTCTTTTTTTAAATTTAATTAGCCACAATAAAGAAGGACCGTTACAATGCTACACGCTACATTAGAGACGTCTCTAGAGTAAATGAATGACTGTTCATACAGAAATCGCAGGTATTCGTCTCATACAACAATGCCCCCTATAGTTCGTTGCGATCACGACTACTAAATCCGTGATACGACCAATAATTACGAAACCTATTCTCGTTGATTTTACGTGCTCGTGTTCACCTGACGTAAGGAAACTTGCATCGAATTATAATTAAATATTAAAGTATATGTAATTTACTTTTCTAAATGAATAGAGCTTTAAGATATAAAATATCACTTTGTTATCTTCAAGATATTTGAAAACTGAATCGTTTATAGCAAAATTTAAAACAATGGCTAACTTTTAACCAATCAGAAAATTCCATTTTGATTTTCACTGATACCGCAGGAACGATTTGTCGCAGAGTGTTCTAATGTCGACAGTGACCTTCCTCGTGCTTTGAACTATCTGTATGCGAAGTTTCTTAGCTTTCTGTCGGTATATGTAATTTACTTTTATTGGTTTAATTTACTTTATTGTCGGTATGTAATCTATAAAGGACAGACTGACACACATTTATTTTTATATATGTAGATCATCTAATAAAGAATACTTTTTAAAATTATTCTGTTCTATATTACATAATATACTGTATGGAATATTGTATTATATAGAATAATAATGTTTATTTATTTTTACAGTGTGTGTGGCTTCCAACATTTCCAGAGAGCAGGAGCAGAGCATGTCAATCTTTTTGCGAGCTTGTATTTTGTGGTCGTGACATTCTCGACAGTGGGCTACGGCGACTACAAGCCTGACAACTGGCCATCGCAGCTTTTCATGGTGGTCATGATTTGCGTCGCCTTAATTGTGCTTCCCACGCAGGTAATCAAATCCTCTCCTATAAGTGCCAACTTTTTTAGGCCTTAGTCTGAACCAGAAATCATTATTTATAAACTACAAAAATATATTAAAAATGACTACAAGAAAAAGTTATAAAGTATAAATTTATGGATATTTCTGTTTTTTAAATTTTATTTTAGCTTTTTACGGCACTTTGCATTGACAAAATGCCAAAATTAAATTATTTCTAGTACTAATAATATATTACGGCAGATGAAACTTGCTAAATATATCCTAAATTGCAAAACTATATAGCAAAATATATCCTATATTGCAAAACTATATTGCAAAATATATCCTATATTGCAAAAAATTTATCCTAATACACACCTGATAACTTTTACTCTCACCGAAAATAATATTCCCTAGAGGTAGTTTGATAACAATTGATTTATAGTAGTAGGCAGAATTATTTTTCAATTTACCAAAAATCACACACACTATGGCCTGACTAGGTTGCCTTTAAATTAATACTTAAATTATTCACATATATTACATTATTAACATATCTAAATAATTTTAAATTAAATTTATTATTTCAAAATACGAAAATAAAGCATAAATTTTGCTTCCACTTATATATAAAAATAGAATCTTTCAAAAAATATGGAATAGTACAATTGAAATAATTTTCACCCTTTTATAAAAATAATTTGATCCTTTGCAGTCGTATGTACAACAAATCTTTCTCAAGTACATATGCTCTCAGCCATCTCAATACTGATCTTATAAAATAAAATAATGCTGTTCAGTTAAGTCTATTAGATTTTTGAGATTGAAAATAATATTTTAGTAATCATGTTAATTTTACAGACCATGTTTTATTAATCATGATTCATTAAGTACAAAATAATATTCTACTGATCGTGTTTAGGTGTAATCGCGTTTTTTCTTCGTAAAATAAGTGTTTCTCTCATACAAACGAATTAATTCTGACCTGTATGACTTAATATAACTGCAAAATGTTAATTATATTTTTTCTATGGACGGATGAGCTTGCAAAACTAAGCGCAGTTGGCGTTAGACGTTACAGTTCGCCGTAAGACTTCCGGGTTACCACTTCCTCTTGTTTTAACGCGTTCTTTCAATCTAACTTTTAACGAAACAAACAACAAATTATTTCACAAGCAAACATCTGTGTACGAACTTTAGTGTATAAAAATGAAACGAAACAAACAACAACACTCCTCAAATTTGTTATGATGATACCCAAGAAATAAGAAACGGTGCTATTTTACGCAAATCAAGCCAAATAAGAGCTATCACGCAAAAGATGCTAACATTACACTTGATTTATGCTGTGGCATTAATTTTGTTAATTTTTTGGGGGCTCACGGCCTGTCAGAATGTATAAATTAGAGAAAATTCCTATGAATGGTAAAATTACGCGAAAATTTAAACACAAATCACAATAATAAAATTTCCTAGAATATTAAGCCTGTTCACACATCATCTTGTGAGCATAACATAAGCAGAAGGATACACAGGAAGTCTTCTAAATTTCCTCCTCCTGTTTTAGAAAGCTTGTTATTCTTTGCATTCAGTCAACCATCCATTTGACAAACATCAGTCAGGTGTAAAACTGAATTTTATTAATGTTTGTAGAATTCCAAAACAACAAAATGTTTATTCTTATCTTCCAGTTTGAACAGCTTGCGTACACTTGGATGGAGAGACAGAAGTTAGGTTTCGCGTACAGCCGCCATCGGGCACAGAATGAAAGGCACGTAGTCGTCTGCAGTACGACGTTAAGGTCAGACACTGTAATGGACTTCCTGAATGAATTTTATGCACACCCTCTACTACAGGTAATGTTCCTTTTTTACACAATGAAATTAAAGACTTACCTTACTTTTTTCAAATCCCCTCAATTATAATAATCGTCGTTAAATGACAGACCCAATTTTGGTTTACAACTATGTACCAATGTTCAACTCCGTATCCTTGTAATTTTGAACCCAATCCAAAAAACAAGGGAACTCTTGGATCAAGTATTGGGAGAAATTTGCTTTCGTGGAGGACTTTTCGATGGAACTAACCCGCATTTGCGTTTCACGGAGGGGAAATCCACGAAAAACTTCCACGGGTAGCTTGACTAACTAACCTTCCACCACGGAATTTAACCCACGATTCGTCTACCACTGAGGATATTTTATATTTATTTATTTCAATAAAAATATGGATATATTATTATAAACATTGAGTCATGTTTAAAGTAATTCTAAATGACTACAAATTTTTAATAAGCAGTTTTGGCGCAAGTTAATTTAAAGTGATTTCAGTACTCAAGGAAAATTTTGACGGTTAGGGCAAAGTAGTGTATAACTAAGCTCATATTTATATTTTTAACTGTTATTTTCTCTCGATATTAAACAATGTTATTTAAAAGCATCTGGCTATAATTACCTCCTTTTTTTTCATTAGTAAAGTGGGGTAATTATGACCATTTTTAATGCAAGCTTAAAATTTATGAGATAGCGCCGTTTCCTTACTGGAAATATCTAGGACATACATAAAAGGAAGATTCCTTCTTTTTACTTCTTAAGAACCAGCAGGAAATTATTGCGATGATAAAAAAAAAAGAAAAGAGAACCATCGAAAAGAAAAGCTAATAGATAACCAATACCAAAACCAATTTAATTCATTCATGGGTTAGCGAAAAGGTAATTCTGAGAGCCAATCAGCTGAATTCTGAGCATGTAAATTAAATTTATTTAACAATTAAAGAAGAACAGGAACAGGATCTTTGTTGGCTAGATTCAGATCTTGGCCATTACAGTTAGGAAAGATGAATATTCCTATTAATCAGAACATATTAATAATATAAAATTATATATTTTGTGATATTTGTGCCTGTTCTAATTGTTCTTATTGCAATTTTTACGTTTTTAAATTAAAGTGGTTGTTAGTTCAATAAAATATTGATACAGTGTGATCCAGCTACATTTTTCATAAAGGCACTTTTACCATTAGCGCAAAATACGNGTTTATGGACAGCCCTGCAGGATTCATGGTGTCAATTATCTCCAGCACTACTTCACACATTGATCGAATCCATGCCACGTCGTGTTGCGGCGCTTCTGCGTACTCGCGGGTACCCTACACGATATTAGGCAGGTATACCTGTTTTTTTGCCTCTTCAGTGTAATAATCGTCGTTGAATGGCAGACCCAATTTTGGTTTACAACTACCAATGTTCAACTCCATAAACTTGTAATTTTGAACCCAATCCAAAAAACAAGGGAACTCTTGGATCAAGTATTGGGAGAAAATTGCTTTCGTGGAGAACTTTTCGATGGAACTAACCCGCATTTGCGTTTCACGGAGGGAAAAACCGCGAAAAACTTCCATGGGTAGCTTGACTAACTAACCTTCCACCACGGAATTTAACCCACGATCCGTCTACCACTGAGGATATTTTATATTTATTTATTTTAATAAAAATATGGATATTTTATTAAAAACATTGAGTCATGTTTAAAGTAATTCTAAATAACTACAAATTTTTAATAAGCAGTTTTGGCACAAAATAATTTAAAGTAATTTCAATACTCAAAGAAAATTTTGACGGTTAGGGCAAAGTGGTGTATAACTAAGCCCATATTTATATTTTTAACTGTTATTTTCTCTCAATATTAAACAATGTTATTTAAAAGCATCTGGCTATAATTGCCTCCCTTTTTTATTACTAAAATGGGGTAATTATGGCCATTTTTAATGCAAGCTTAAAATTTATGAGATAGCGCCGTTTCCTTACTGGAAATGTCTAGGACATACATAAAAGGAAGATTCCTCCTTTTTACTTCTTAAGAATCCGCAGGAAATTATTGCGATGATAAAAAAAAAAAAGATAAAAAAAAGGAGAGAACCATCGAAAAGCTAATAGATAACATGATATACCATAACCAATTTAATTCATTCATGGGTTAGCGAAAAGGTAATTCTGAGAAACAATCAGCTGAATTCTGAACATGTAAATTAAATTTATTTAACAATTAAAGAAGAGCTTGTAAAATCTTTGTTGGCTAGATTCAGATCTTGGCCATTACAGTTAGGAAAGATGAATATTCCTATTAATCAGAACATATTAATAATATAAAATTATATATTTTGTGATATATATCCTGTTCTAATTGTTCTTATTGCAATTGTTACGTTTTTAAAATTAAAGTGGTTGTTAGTTCAATAAAATATTGATACAGTGTGATCCAACTACATTTTTCATAAAGGCACTTTTACCGTTAGCGCAAAATACGAGTCTGGCATGTCATCGATTAAATGCCGATGTTACCTTTTTGGAACAAGTCTCTTTTCAAGACGCTAAAAACTAGTAATTCGATTCTTTTATTCTTGGCACTTACATTTGTAAAGATTAGTATTCCTTACAGCCAAATTTATTAATTATATAAAATTACTTATCATGTGATATACGTCTTGTTCTGAAATTAAATAGCTGTTGCATTTTCTTTCAACGAAAATAGTAGCTAACTGAAAAAAATTTCAACTTAATTTATGATTAAGGCCTGCTACCACGTCTTTTTTAATAAAGGCACTTTCTTCGTGTGTGCAAAATAATCAATTTATGTTAATATTTACTTATTTCAACTTATGTATATATATGTCAAATGATGTTTATATTTATAGATGTCTACTTAGATTCGATGAATCAGATATTTAAATGTTATATTTACTCAAGCAAAGTGCTTGTTTTTCTATTAGCTACCACATCGACTGCTAAATTCAAAATGTTATTGCCATAAATTTTCTGTAAATTTCTAGATGTATGGGATAGGGGCCGCTAAGTGGCCCAGGTGCCCAATTTTTGTAAATAAAGTAAGTAAAGTCTGTGCAAAATAAGAGTCCGGTAAATCTTTAAAAAAATTATTTATATTTTGAAAAAAAATGTTGCTACCACTAAAAAAGTTACCTCATTTGATCCCACGCAATAAAAATTGTAAATTATTGTAGCATTTACTATAGTTATATGCTATTCAAGTACAGATATTTGCAACTTATATAAAACTAGTATGTTAGCAACACATATATCAAGTACTTTTGCTGCTAAATGTGGTACTAATACTGATATCAATGGTACTGAATCTGTGGAAATAATATAGTACTTTTCCAACAGCAACAAAACTGCAATATTTGTTTTAAGTATATTCATTTATATGTTTTTTGCTCGTTTTTTTCCACTTGTAAACGTCTATAAAAAAAGTTAAAAATGATTAATTTATTTCCATTGAATAGAAATAAAATACCAAACATCAAACGAGTTACAATTCATTGAAATTAATTTGTTACACATTTGAATATTATGATATTTTAAACGAACAAGTTTCGAAAGAATCTAAAATCTTAATAATTAAACTAACTTTAGCGTGCTTAAGACAGGGAAAAAATCCAATCAAAAGCAGTATCTTAAAGAACTTTTACCAAACCAAGGACAGAAACTTACAAAAATATAAAAATAAATAATTCGTTTTATTTTGGTTGAATTTAAGGAATGTGGTAAATACAGATTTTTTTTAAGCTAAACCAAAAGTGATGAAACGTGTCTGTTTTTTTGCGAAGAGCTTTTTATCTTTTGAAATTCTTTTGACACATTCAAAAAGCTTTAACGATATTTATGCTGACTATTTCTTTCAGATCAAATTTTTTCTCCGCTGTTTCTTTTTTCTTCAGTAAAATGCCAAGCATTTGTCTCTTTAAAGAATTTAAATTCAAAATACTAACATCATTTATTACTTTAAAGGCAATTTATGCGAGGAAGTTGATTTTTTAAGCGAACCAAATAATCATATACATTAAGGATTAATTGATAAACTGAATTTAAATTTGCCTGGATAAAAATCTATCAATCGCTAGATTATGATAACTTGATAAACTGAATTCAAATGAGCTTTGTTAAAAAGAAAACTATCAATCCTTATATTTATAGAGATTTTTCAAAATCATCTACACAATTTAAACTGTAAGTATCATTTTAAAATGGCTTTTGAGAATTTTAAAAATGTAATCGATATTTGAACAAATTATGTTTTTATTGGTTTTATAACTTTTTGTTCTTTCTGCCACTGCAAAATAAATAAATCAAATGTTTGTTTTCCCCAATTGCTTTAATCCTAAATATTTATTGTTTCTAACTTCAAATGTCTAGAAAAAAGAATATCTCGTACTCTTTAGTGCATTTTTTTAAAAATGATAAAAACTGATGAATTGTTTTTTTAAATAAAAGGTAGTGTATTTACCCATAAGTGTATGTACCGATGTGTTTTGTCACATACTTTCCTTACAAGTTTGAATATGCATGCAAATAGTCTTTAGTGCCACTTTTCAGGTTTAAACTTGCTTGGTCCCAATGCCCAGTACACCCTACACTGATGATTTTTTAATGAAAATGCTAATGTTGATGTGGATTTGCCCTTTATCACTTATACTTTTTATGGTTAAAAGCTACAGCTCGATATACTATGCACTGATGTTTTAAGATAAAGTACGATTGACCGGTATTGCCTACACGGATATTTCTTAAATTTAACACTTTCATATCCGGTGACACCAACGTGTTGTCACGTGAAAACCAAACGTTAGCTACCGGTGACAACATGTTGGTGCCATACGCAAGCCATACACTAGCAGCCGGTGACAACACGTTGGTGTCATGTCCAAGCCAAACGTTAGTGGCCGGTGACAACACATAGATGTCGCGCTTTGCAACCTGATATTCATGTGACATTTTGTCAAGTGACAATAGAGTACAGGGATGCCAACTGCTCCGCTTTCTGGAATAGTTTTAATAAAGTGG